ATAAACTTTCAGGATTTTATTGGTGATGACAGATTATATTGACTGATTGTTCTGGAAGGAAAGAAAAATAAAAACTGGAGGATGCTGAGTAGAGAGGGTGGATGTGAGATGAGTCAGTAAGAATGTAGATGGATAATAGAAACTGATAATGAGATCATCAAGAATGATTAAATTCAATTATTTGTATTTTAGTTTTTTGGTTTTAGTGAAGGGATAATTCAAATTACATTTTCAGCAGCGCCTAGTGAGGCGAAGAAAATGAGAAGCTGTTGTGTTTCAATGTGACCACACGGGGCAGTGCAGCATAGTGAGCCTGCAAATCAGTTTATAACTTTCATATAATGTGTGAGTTTGTTTATTCTGAATTTTATTTTTCACTTAGGTTCCACAGTTCATATATCATGTGTAATTTTTCATTAGTTTCTGTGTTTGTTTGTATTTTATTCTATTCATGATGGTTGTGTTGACAGATTTGTCCAAATTTAAAGTTATAGATGTGAACTTTTGGTTCCTTTATTATTACCTGTATAAACACTAAGCTGTTTATAAATAATCCACATTTGTGGATTTGTGCAGTCCTGAAAGATGCCCATACATCCAGCTACACTCAACATTAGTCCAGCTGAAGACCCTAATTTCATGAAGCAACTTCTTTTCCCTGATCCCGCCTCCACAGACAGATGTGCACAGAGGTTTAACAAGGCACAGGCCTCGATCACTGAAGACAGACCGCATCAAGAGTGTGACCTCCAAAGTGCTTTATTTATTCACTTCAGCCAGCCTCTTTTATGTCCCCATTTATTTAAACTCTGCTCTAAGAAATATTTCCTGTGATCTAAAATTTGGCACATTTATATTTGCGTCTGATAACAACAGCAGTTAATGTGCTGTACAGCTGATTCTTTTGAGGGTGTAGCGCCTTCAAAGGTTGACGTAGGCACCATGTAGAGTTATAAAACGGGGTTTATTCTGGTCTCGACGACCCGGGAGAACTGCTCAAAGAAGAAAACGATTTTTTTTTTTT